TTCCCTTCATGTAGTCCTCAAATCTGATTCTTTTTACAGTAGAGCCCCTCTGCATTTCTTTGGCTTCATAAAGGGGATTTATATTTTATATTTGCATTGATCTGAAGGAATTCTGTCCCATAAGAGTGCTGAGAAAAATAGTTTAATGATGCTGAAATAAAGTAAACCATCCACTGTGTCTGGTTTACTTTATCTCAGCATCTCTGGCACAGGTGTGTTCCTGATCTCCAAAGCATTCAGAGCTGTAGTGTCCTCAGTGAAAGGGCACTGAATTCCTAGGAGAGCCTGAAGTGACCTGTCAGTCCATCAGGTTGCTGAGGCACTTTCACACCTACTTAATTGTAGTGTGGTCATGTTGGGATCACATTCCTGAATCACATGGAATCCACATGTGAGCACGTGAAAGTGCATGACTTGGCTTTCAGTGGCATAGAAACAATGTGGGATCAACATTCTGTAATTTTGGAACATATAAAATATTTTACTCGCTTGACAGGCCAGAGAAGAACTTGAGAAGCAGAACTTGTGAACTTTGTCATAAGCACTGTCTGGCTAAAGAACTTCTACATTTCTACAAAGCCATTGCTTTCATCCAGCTTGCAGGTGTCTTCCCATCCCTTGGAGTGACCAGCTCCCTGCTGAGTTCATCATCTGGATACCTGGTTATCATCTCCAGCTGGGGAACAGAGGAGTGAAGGATGTTGCACTTAGGGACAGCATGAGATCATAGGAGCCTCCTGCTCATTACAGCTTCACAGGCAACAAGATTATGCTATTCCTGTGCTGCATTTCAATAAGCCAGACTTTTTCTTTCAGCTTTCTTTTGTTTCTGGTTTCCTTTTACCTTTTTTTTTTTTCCTCCACATTTTTATGCTGAATTTTAGTAACTTCTGAAACAGTGCAAGATGTGCTTTGTACCTTCTCAGCAATGTTCCCTTGCTTGTTCTGTCCTTTATATGGATTTTTCAGTTATTTGTTTTTTTACTCAGGGGAATATGCTGAGCTGAATTTTGCTCAACAAGAAGCAAAGAATGACTTTTCTATTTTTCTATGTTTGTTTGTTTTTTTTTCTTTGAATAAAGTCAGAGTATATAAGGAATTAAAACAGGTCAGTAAAGTGTATGCTTTCCACACTAGGGAGATACAGACAGTAGAAGCACTTTACCTAGTAAGAAAATGGCAAAAAAATCCATGGTGTGGATGCAGCTGTATTGTAAATGTACTCTTTGTTACCAGTGAAGGAAAGTAATCCACAAGGAAGGCTCAAATCTGTTGGGGTTTTTGTTTGTGTTTAATGTATTATTCTATTCACATTAGCTGACCTTCTGACCTCCTGACCTCCAGGTTTGTTCAACCTGTATATTTTCCCTTACTTGGAAAAAAAATCCACACATGGAAATTGGATTTCTGTGAAAACAAGATGAGAAGAGTTTTACTTAGCAAAATAGTGAAATTTCAGTAAATATAAATAATGCCATGCAGATATGACATAGCAAATGCATGTGGCTGCTATCACTTGTAAGAAATGTGTGTAAAGGAATTTGAGTACAAAATGAAAAATTCCTAAGGAAGAAATAACTAATTTTAGTGCAGAAATCCTACCTAATTTATCTAAGTTCAAGAAACCGAATTTCAAGAATATTTTAATATCTCAGATAGGAAGTTTAAGAATCCCATTCTTCAAGGACAAAAAAAAGGATTAAGAGTGCCAGAACCATCTTTTTTTCTTTTTTCTTTTATTTCAATCAATATTCTGAAACATTTTAATCTATAAAAGTGTAATAAGATATGATTACACTGTTGCCTTGCAATCTAAATAAGGCAAAGATTATGTTTATCCGCTTAGCAAGTAGGTGATTTCTTCTAAATTTTTGCCCATCTATGCCCATTGACTCAATTGTTTCTCATGTTTCTGATATTGTCTAGTCCTAGAAATTTCTTAGTCTAACTAGATGTCCTGTATTGTTTTAAGTATTACTCCATGTGTGTTAATCTCCTACTCTTACCCATTCTGTCTGCAATGGTTGTGATATACAGTTTTCTACACTAGTATTTAAGATGAAGAATTATGATTAAATTCTGAAGATACATAAGACCTTCCATTGGCACAGCTGTTCCAGTGGGTAATCACATGTTCAGACCCAGACCAGAACATCAATTTCAGCCAAAACTTTTCAGATGAATCTCAAAATCTTCTGACTTACCCTATTTAGGGCTAATTTAGCCCACTTAGACTAACAAGGATTTAGTAAAAATCAAGCGCTTCATAAATCTACTAAATTTAACACATCACATATTCTGAGTTTCAGAAATGAAATGAAAAATTACTGGGACAAAGTGCCAAAAATTGCACTAAGACAGCAAGTGTTGTGGGATCATGACCACCCAACCTTGCCCGTGTGGCTGATCAGAGCGTGGGTTTGCTTGAACTGATTGAATTGAGGAGAGTTGATATAGTCAGGCTGAGAAAAAGGCAAGAAATAAAGATGCAGTTGTGTCCCTGAGTGGTGCAATCTATTTTTCAAGAAATAATGGAAATTAACTGCCTCAGCCATAAGAGATTGCAGATTTGCTCACATGGACTCCTTTGGACAAGAGATCCTCGAGAGTTCTAACATCAGTATTTAACAGAAGGGCTGTCAGCTCAGTGAAAAAATCAACTCTGCACATTTTAGATGCATTTATATGCATTATTTTTTGTGTAAGGTAGAACTACATTTTGCCTGTTAATTAAATCACCACCTTTTAATGGCTCTATGTAATTTACAGGTAAAGAAAGAGAGGGATTTCTCTGCAACAGAGCAAGAAATGTGTCTTACTCTTTGTTTCTCCCTCTAACAACTACACCATGAGCCTGCCTACTAGCAGGGAATGTTTAGGTGGAAAAGTGATAGGGACTGATACTGCAGCTTCATTTTCCTCTTCTACGCCCTGTTTAGATTCCAGGTATACCCAGTTCTGGCCAAAAGTTTGTCTTTCCATAATATTTACTCCTCTCACATAGTGAAACTAGGATTTGAGCTCTCTGCAAGACAACTTGTTGAACCATACCCATATTTGACTAACTTTGGTGTCTTGTGAATTGTTTAAGTGAAAATTTCCTGTTAATGGGCATCCAGTCCTTTTCATTCCTCATGACTGGAACTGTTACCTGAGAGAGAGATTTTGGATATAGAGTTCAACAGTTAATCCCAGCCTCCAATAAAAATTATGCTAGATTGGAAAATTCAAAAAAAAAGGCTTGTGAAGATGATTAGAGATCCGAGGATTTTTCTTTTTTATTTTAGTGAAAGATTTAGAATGTTGAATGTATTCTATTTAAAGGAAAGAAGTAAGTAGCAGATTTAATCAAAGCCCAGTAGGGATGGGCATTTCTGATGCCACCATCCTCCTTAATCTAGGAAAGAGAAGTTAATAAGAATCAGTGCTTAGAAGATAATACCAGACAATACAATTTTAGACACAAGCCTTAACTGCCAGCACTGAGCAGGAAATTATGAAAAAAACTCTCTTTTTTTGTTGAGTCTCTAAACTCATTCTTTATTTGAAAAATATTGGTCAAGATAAAGGAATACACTGTGAAAAGCTATTGCTTGTGTTGGCCAGGAGCTCCATTCAGATCAGTCCTTAAATTCACAGTTCTCTGAAGTGAATCATGGCTTCTTTGAATAGACCCCAAGGAAAAAAGCACAGACACACAGGACAAATGTGGAAATGGAAAGCAGAGTGAGGTTATGTACCCTATATCATACTGTGGGTGGGAAAAATTAAAAATAAAGGATAGTCTTCCTGTTTGTCAGTGTATTTCTATATTTATTGGGCCACAGAAACTATTATAGGAACTAGGACTTACCAGGAAAGTGTTTTTTCTTTTTTTAAAAACTATTGATTTTTTAAGAAATAGCAAGCAAGCAACTGAAGACCATTTCAAAAGTTTTGGCTAAAACTCAAAAGTTCCAGTATCACAGGATTTACAGTTTGCAGTCACTGTGCCCTCAGCAAGTTTTTAATTCTTTTTTTTTTCCTGATCAGGATTCCCACTTCACATACTGTGCTTTTCTTCTCCTGTTCTTGTTGAGCTACTTCAGTATGTCAGGAGAGCCCCACAGCCAGAAGTACCATTGAAAGATGGATACAGGTCAGTGAGCCTGAAAAGAGAAGGAGAATAAAGGAAGGGAACTAAATAAACTATGACACCAAGGAGCAGATTGGCAAGATTTTAATCAAAATTGTGTATTCTGCTCACCAATATTCAGATTTCTTCCTAAGAGGTTCATTTTTAAATTAAAAAACCTCATCCAAAGCAAAACACAAAATTTTCTTTTCCACAAAGAGTACATACTTTAAAAAATGTATGAATGTAATAAAACAATTCCTTTCTTCAGTTTCAACAAAAAAAAATCCTTTCTTCCATTTGAACAAAAAAAGTCAGACAGCTATTCTAATGACTGTCACTGGTAAAAGAAAAATCATAATTTTGGTGTTTTATCATCCAAAACCCAGATGTTTATCTGACATGTGTCTGAGTATTTGATGGGCACATTTTTAATACACAGGCTCTCATAAAAATCATCTTTTCATCTCTGAATATTATTAGCAATCTACTTGCTTTATTTTTACTAGTCACTATATAGCCAAGATCAAGATGAAGAGAAGCAAGTAAATAAAATGAACTTTTGTTAAAATGATAAGTACAATTTAAAGAATGGAGGTTACTTCTTGTTTTGAATTGAAAATTGACTGACATGCTTCAAATAAAGGTATCAATGCGATAAAACATTTAAAGTTTTCAAGTCATATTATTATGTAAAATTATAGTGTTAAAAAATATAAAAAGCAAATATATATTATAACAAATATATAGATATATTGCATGATATATTTCTAGATGCTATTAAAGATATAAATATTTAATTCTTATGATATTTAATGGTTTAGATATTAATTTTATAGTAGTTTCAAATGTTACTTTACTTTTATTAAATGCTACTCAGATTAAACATTAGCATACCATTAATGAAACAAGTTTTCATACATTTTGTTGATATTACTGTCATATGGGATACTTGTACCTTGATTTAATCTGAAAAATATGGCACTTAAGTTCCTGTGTGAAGAAAGTTATTAATGACTGGATAGATTCAAGTTCCCATGACAACATATTGCTGTGCTGGATCAAGTGGGATTTTACAATCGTAAATTGTTTTAACAATTGAGTTCAGCATGAAATAGGACCAATGTACCATCAGGAACTGGCTTGAATCTGCTTAGGAATTAATAGAATCATGGTATCATTAAGACTGGAAAAGACCTCTATGGTCATTGAGTCCAAATTTTGACCAAACACCAACACCTCAACTAAACCACATCACTGAGTGCCAATCCAGTCAATTCTTAAACACTTCCAGGGATGGTGACTCTACACTTACCTGAACAGCATGTTCTGACATTTGAGAACCCTTGCTGTGAAGAAATTCCTCCTGGACATGCTCCAATAATAAAGGTACAACCCTTGTGCTTCCTGAGGCTCTGCAACAACAGCTTCACTTACAGGGCACAGACACTGTGAATCCATTTGCTTTTCCACCTGGGAACACTCTGAGACTGGGACCCAGCATCATCTTGCTTTGGGACATCCTGTAACAAAATACATTTGAGTATGGGGGTTGTTCCAGTATAAAATTCTGGCACCATTTCACACTAAGTCCTTTTCACCTCTCACTCTAATGCTATATCTCTTTGGCATTTCAATTCTGGATGCTAAACTGCAGAAAAATGTAATAATCTTTGGAAGTGGTGACATTCTTTTTAGATCCTTGGATTTCTTTTGCTATCTGGATATCTGGATAGTTTATTAGCTTAGTTCCATGCATTCAGTGTTGGTTTTCTCTCTTAAATACCTTGTCTCCTCAAACATCTTTGTTCCATAGTATATTATCTCAGTTTGATACAAATTAGAAGGAAATGTCCTGAAAGGGGTGTCTTCTCTGGGCATAAAGCAGACAATAAAGGATACAGTACCATAAAGTCACCCCACGACATATTTATCAGCAGCTTTCTCTGATGGATGTAGGTATTGAGGGAATTAATGGAGGCAGGATTAATGATGATGGAACCAGTAATTGTGGTGAGACTTTTTGTGACAGCAAATTGATCGTCCAGATTTCATGGTCCAAATTTACAATTAGCAATCAACTTTATGTGAAATTCACTTAGGGCACCTTGTTATTTCTATGATGCTTCCCCTGTGTCATGTTTTCTGTCTCTCATCTACTTTGATGTGTCTGTTCTGGGGGTAAATCTGTCAAGGGCTGGCACAGAGACAACTGTGTTTTAAATGGGAAATGAGAGATCACCACAGTATGGAGGCTGAGCTCAGTGGATGGGGCTCAGGAACATGAACATCCTAAAACAGTGTTAGAAAAAGGAGTGCAGACCACAGTGCAGATAATCTTACTTCAGTGTGTCTCTATCTGACATAAATCAAGTTTCTGTTTTACGTCCATCACAAGGAACCTTGTCTCAACTAAAGACTGGAAAAAGCTACCTTTGTAATATGAAACTGCAATATCTGTGTTCTTCTGAATTAATTTATGGTTTTATTACATTCACAAAGTAATTTTTGAAAGCTTATTTAAACTATTATCCGAATACTTAAGATTTCTGCAGTGTTAAAATTAAACCAGTTACATTTAAAAAAAAAATACTTTTATAAAACCAAACCAAACCAAAACCCTTCCCCTGAAAATTTTGTTTCTTAACCAGGAATAAGGTAAAATTCAGGATATTATTCTCCAAATGACCATTTATGTAAGGAAGATGGTTTCATCAAAACACTCTTCCTGTGAGTATTAAACAGCATTTTACATATTATTCACTCTGACACCTCAGGCCCGTGGGATTCTTCCTCACCTGATACAGACCTCGAGGAGACGAGGCCATCGTGTCAGCTCACTGGTCTGGAAGAGAGCACAGGGTGGGGTACCCTGTTTGCTGCAGCACATCACTCCAGGAACACCTTTTGGTACCAGTCTGATTTTACATATTATTGAAACCAGTGGTTTGGGAAATTGGAGGGTGAAGGAAGGTTTTTACAGACTGTGAATCCTTTCTGCTTCTCTGGGTAGGACTCCTTGTACTTAAGTTTTACTATCAAACAGTTCAGTGTCCATCCCACTTTTGGAATCTGTGAAGGAGAGGAACAGGAGATAATAATTCACCTCTTCTCTCTCAAACCCATTTTAGAACGGGATTAGTCATTTTTTACAATGTTCCAGTTGATTGACATTATTAGGAGAAACAAAAGAAATAGTTTAGACTATTAGTCGGGTTTTTTCCTAGCTACAAATAATAACTGGAAAAATGACCCTTACATACCATGCTTTTCACATATCTTTTGGACATCCCTTCATTTTTTTTCTTCTCTGATGAGAGAGGCAGTGTGATACAAAAACCAGCCTCCTCAGCAAGTGTTGCTGGACAGAAGCTGATCTGATTTCTAAAGTAATATTTACTGTATTTGAGCCATGAGTTTCCTTGCATTTCCATAGTGACCATACTTTTGATATTAACTCTGTATTTGAAAGAGCACCGAGCTGAACTAAAACTCAGTATCAGGTCATTGAGCAAAAAACTATTATGTTGGAAAAGTACCAATCTTCAAAAGCAAAATGTATTTCACCTGTGAAAAAAAAGTAATTTATCTTAATTTGAAAAATTGTATTGTTTTCACATTTTTTAAATGCTTTTTTTCAATGCAAGTAGAATCGTAGGTGAGATTCAATTAAGGCCTGATTTAATAGTTTTATATAGAACAGGTCTTGTCTAGCTGTGAAATTATAATTTATTTCCTAAGTAGGCTATGTGCTGGTGCACTGGGTGAAGTTGAAACATATTTGAAGGTCTTTTTTGTGTCAGGTTTTTATACTTATGTAGTAAATCCTATTCATAGAATCCTTTTTTAATTTTTTTCTCTCCAGTTTAAAGAAAATGCTGAACATTGAGCAGTGAATGACAAAAGAAAATATTGTTTTATGCAAATGGATAGCTAAAGCAGCCCATGAGATAGAAACAATAGAGAAGTACTGAAAATGAAGTCTCACGGAGATTATGCTAATGAAGAATGTCATTTTAAAAAGATTTTTTTACTAAAGTATTGTAATTATTGTAAAAGTGAAGTAATAAACAGAATGTAATGACTGATCCTATCTTGTATAACTTAATAGTCTTTATATAACAAAAATATTACATGAACTTTCATCCATAAGAAGACTGATGTGATCATTATAAATTAAATTCAATAGGATAGATATGATCACTATACTAATGCAAAAGCTCCAGAGAACTGGAAGTTGCTTATTGTGAAGCAAAATATATCTCTGGAGGTAGATTCCAGGAACTGCAGAATAACGGTATGTGACCCAGTAGTACCTTTAATGAAGAGTAGAATTGATGGATACGTGGATAAATAGTGGGTGCGTGCCAAGGTACCTTTTGGAAAAGAAATCAGCCCTTACATGCCTACAGGGATACTTTGAAGAACCAAAAAATCTGTGGACTTAATAATAATGTATTTATTTGGACTTGTTAATATATTTATCTCAACTTTCAAAAGATATTCAATAAAAAGCCAAAGAAAGGCATAAAGTAATCTTCCCAAAATAAAGCTGCTGCAGTGTAAAATGGGAGTTCCTTTTCTGCTTGAATTATTTGTTAATTGTTAGGAAAATGGGGATAGCAAGAAGCAATCAAATTTACAGCATAGATAGGTCAGTGGCAGAGTTCCCTAGTGTCTATTCTGAGAAAAGGATGTGAATAATGAGGCAAAAAATTGCTAATAACACTAAGTAATTTATGGTAAGGAAGACTGGGAAGACAATGGCCTCTGGAAGATATTAAAACACAATTAATGAAGCAATAAAAAGACAGATGACATTCAATGCAGGTAAATTAGAAGTGAGGTTCAAGCAGTAACAGTCCAAACTTTACATAGAAAATGATTGATTTTAATAGGACTGTAATAGGAACAACACCTGGCGTTACAGTACATAATTCTGTCAAAATATTAACTTACTGATAAGCAATGTCAATAAAGCAAGTGGAATACTCAGGATTATAGGGAAAAAATAGGTTAAAGAACATAACTATACTACTGCACAGGTCCAGAGTATGTCCACATCTTTGTAGGCTATGATATTCTTATCCCTCCACCTTTTTAACTTAAAAAACAAACAAACACACAAACAAACAAACAAAAAACCAGAACCAAACCAAAAAACACCAAAAAAACCCAACGAGAAACACTTTTAGAACAGAAAAAAAGAGCGATGAAAGGTCTGGAACAGGTTCTGCATCCTATGTAGGGCAGGCCTTTTCAACCTGCAAATAGACAGTTCAGGAGGGTATTACTGCGACCTATAAATCATAGATGTCCTAAAGAAGAAAGACTGGGATCAACTTTTTGTTGTCTTTTATGGTACAAAACCAAACTGAATAAAAGAAATGAACTTAAAGGAAACTAGCAAGTGGCAAATTGAAAAAAAAAAATTGAAGAGAACAGCTTTCATACAGGATGGAAAATCTTCTCAGGCTTCTATTTACAAGAACAGCTGTCTGTTTCTGGAAGTCACTGAGTCATCTAAATGGATCTATGATTCTATAAACTGCTGGAGGCAAGGAGAGTATTTTTGGGAAGTAAAAGTATTTGCTGCATGATGCCACCTCCCAGATAGTCACTGTTGGCCACTGTCAGAGATAAAATAGTGCAATAACTATATCACAGTTCTGTCACAATAAGCCCATTTTTTATATGGTTATTATCAGGTCCAACTCCTGCATGCTGTGGTTAAGTGTCGATCACAAAGAGGTCATTTTTTCCCTTGGAGACAATGCGTTAGAGTGATTTAAAAATGGATGAAGTATCCAAGGAGCATACTTGAAAAGACCAAAGTCTTTTGTAAAAGCTTCAGAAATTATCAACCTGTATATACTTTTTGACGGTGCTAAATCATTATTCTTTCTTTGCAGTATTTCCGTTCAATTCAGAAAAAAATCTGTTGCTTAAAAAAGCAGAAGTACTGAAAATGATGGGATTTTCATACAAATTAAAGAGGTTTCTCTAATTTTCTGCAAATTTATTGAGGTTTGGCATATTAAATTACTATGTGCCACTTGTGCTTTTGCAGCTATTGGGAAGACTCAATAAAGTCAATTTAGCACTAGTTGAAAGTGGCTCGTGGTATCTGAGACATCCTTGGTGGTCTGACAGATACAACACAAAGGTTAAGCCAGACTTTTCTGTAAGAGGAACTTGAAATCAGACAAGATAATGACTGTGGCACAGCAAATGGTGCCAATGATGAACCGCAACATAACTGTCTCTTTTGCACCTGTCATGCCTTGTGATGTGACTTAGCCCAAAATATCAGTGAAAAAAGCATCAGCTTCCTTTTTATTTGAATTAAGAATGTGCAAATGGACAATCACTTACATTCTCCATTTCTGTTAGGATGCCACATTAGTCATATGTCCAAATACAAAAACAAAAACATTCAGGCTTAATGTCCATTGCTAACCAACTTCGTCACTCCTTTTTTGTTTTTTTTCTAAATAACATCTTTTTCTCCTTCTGTAATGTGATAGAATGTGCAGAATCCATTTGTTGGGCAAAGTGGTTACAGTTCTGTATCAGTTTTTTAATGAAGCATACTAGCATAAAAGTTAATTTTGTATTTATTGATAGAGATATATTCCAGTAGAACAACAACTTCAAATAATCAAACAACAATGAGAACTTGTCATTAATGAAGCATTTCACTGAACTGGATTCTAGGAAGAAGAATTTTAGAGAGTTTTAGTTAAATTTAATGAGATTGAGCATCTGAACTCTACTCCACACAGGTGGCAGCAGCAAGATGTGCCACTGGCAGCAATGAAAGTGTAAACATAGAACACAGTCATAATTTTTCTGATATGAACCAAGTTTTATTGTGTTCTCCCCCCTTTCTACATTTTTTTTTTTTTTTTGCCTAGTTCCACCAACAAGGCATCTGTTGGGTTGCATGTTAACATAACAATACAAAACTGTCACAAGCCCAGCCATGGAGTTTACTAATTTTCCCTGATGAGGATGAGCTTTGTGAACAGTGTTTCAGAGAGAAAATCTTGAGAGGAGCCAGTTGCTGGGTGTCTTACCCCACTGCCTCCCACACACCACATGCTTTAAGTGATCCAGGATGGCAACCTGTCACCACTGCATTACCAACCTAAGGGAGATTCACTTCTGTTTTCCAAAAATTGTGACTGGTCATGGAATAGGACTGCTATCTGCTCCGAAAGGCACACCAGTTTTGCAGCCACCTGCAGATGCAGGGCATCAGTATCTCCCCAGTGAGAAATACCATGAACACAGCACCTGTCTTTACACTGGTATCTGCAAAAGTGACATTTTCCAACCCTGTTCTCATACCAACCCCACTGAGATGACTCACTTAAGGACTGGTCTGGAGCAGCTGTGTGGGTAGGGATGGGAAGAAATCCATTCTTATGTCTTAGCTCACTTATCTTTGTAACAGTTGGGTGTCAAAACTCACAAATCATTTCCCTTTGCTGACAAGGACTGTGCAAGGACAAAATAATAGCATACATAGTGGGGCATTTAACTGTGACTTGGTGAGTGTACTTTGGAGCAGGCTGAAGTTAGATAAAGTGCTGCATTATCCTCCAATAACTTCCATATGCATTAGAGTACAATGATAGTAATGCACTCCCTGTCCTATTTTCTTAATCCTCTTGCTTGGGGAGCTGTGGCGTGGGTGGAAATCGAGATTAAAAGATAGGAGCCTCGATAACTGTGCATAACTAAGCCCTGAAAATATTAATTTTTGTCTTTGAACTGCTCTAGTCATGGTGGGGAGTAAATTAATGCAGGATTAGAAAGACTATTTTATACAAGATGTGATACAGGACCAAACTCAAGAGTCTTATTCTGTGTTAATTAAAGCAGACAATTCATATTGTTCAAAAATACTGATTTGAGGAGGAGAGCTGCAAATTAGAAAATGTTTTGGTCTGGTTATGTTTAATTTTAATTAACTGGAAACAAACTAATTTGACAAGTGTTTTACAACATAGAACTTTTACAAGGAGAGTTGAGGTAATGCATGATCTGTGGGTTATATTTTAAGTACAACTGCATTAAAAAAACCACTAAATAAATACTCTAGCCTTTTAAAAAAGACATTTAAAGAGTTTTACTGTAAGCTTTTCTAAAAAAAATGTTTTTACTTAGAATAAAATCATTAATTATATCCCATTACTTGTGCTTCTCAAGCTGATTTTTCTTCTGTGAAGAAAAGGAATTTTCCTGTACTAAGATCTTGTTTACTTAAGATTTTAAAAATGTAATAGGCTGTTTACTTAAGATTTAGTACTTAAATATTTCTTTAAGACCCAATATATATTTCAACAAACATAATTGATCACTTAATTTTGTTTTAGTTTGAATTCTACAAAAAATGCCCATGCAGTGAAATACTCATAGCTCTCCTATCATCAGCATTCTTGAGGGGTCATCCTGTGCTAAGATGTGTCTTTAACATTACTCAGACTTCAGAAGTAAAAATCTCACTTCAGTGATGAAATGGGAAGCCTAAGTGATTAATTTGATTATGAGCAAAAAATAAATTAAAAAAAATAACATGAATCCCACCATTTAGATTATTAATACCAGTGGGTTTGGGTCTCCTTGGGATTGACAATATAGATGTTTCTGCTGTGAAAATCTAAGCTCCTGCTTCAACATCATACTGGAATATCAGCAGCTCCCAAGTGTTAAATAAATACTATGAATAATAGAAAACATAAAATTGGAGGTAAGGCATTAGACAAGTAGTTGAGAATAATGCCTTAGTATATTCAATATCTAGGTGAGAAAAGATGAAGACAATAATTTTATTCTAATTTGTATCTTACATTTATTTACAGCCAATTTCCCTCTAATTTGATTTGTTTCTACTAAGTGTATTTGTTATTCTCTTTTCCTTCAATAATGGTACTTAAAATCATTAATTATTCCCCATTACTTGCGCTTCTCAAGTTGGTTTTTCTGCTGTGGAGAAAAGGAATTTCCTGTACTAAGATCTTGTTTACTTAAGATTTTAAAATGGTAATAGACAGTTTACTTAAGATTTTAAAAAGAAATAGACTGGTCCACTTGACTCTGGAAGGATCAATCTCTATGGACTGCGGCCCCATGATTAAGAATTAATTCTAGGAACAAAATGTGTTTCAGGTATGTCTGAGAGAGAGAGATAGCAGAAGAAAAGCAGTGTGTTAGTCTGGGCCATCTCCCAGGGAGCTGTCAGACAGGAAAGGCTGAGGACTACAGGAGGTACCCAGCTGGCAGCTCAGTGGGAGGAAGGGGAATATGAAGTGCTGAGTAACCTGAGAGTGCTTACGGAGAAGCTGCTCAAGAATTTTTGAAATTTTTCTAGACTGCCATTTGTAAAAGTTAATTTAAAAACAATTTTATTTGTAAGCTGTGAATTTCTCAAGGGTGTTCTTTTTGGATACTCCAGCACCAGCCCCAGTAATGTAAGGATGACCTGTAGAGTAGCAAGATGTTTCTGTGGTCAGGCCTTGTCCATAATTCCAGAGTAGTTTACTTTCAAGATGAGTAGTTCCACAC